TTCCTCTGAAAGGAAATCTGAGCAACTGGAGAAGATTTGGGTCAAGCAATGAGCAAACTGGGTCTGGGTTATCTCACATGCCAGAAATTATAAAACTACTAGGGCTGTATTCAGAGCATCCAGGACCCCTTGAAGAGCTCCACTGGGGCAGCTTTAGTGAGAATGAGATTTTCAAAGAATTAAAATTAAAACCTGTTGAGTATGTTTAAATCTGTTTCCCTAAAAAATCAGTTAATTGGTTACCTTTGAGATTGACAGGGAACCAAATCAATATCTTGACAACTGAGTAGTTGGAGGGAAAAATCAAGCACATGTCTTGCTTTTCCATGGCAACCAAGCAACATCTGAGAGAAGAAACTATCCCTCCATTATATTGTCCAATACCTGCAGAAAGGCCAAAAGCTTCTAGAGGAAGGGCGAAATGTGCACCTGAGAATCCAGGAGAAGCACACTTTGGGCCCCTGCAGGTTTTGAGGTCCACCTTACTCTGAGAAGTCTACAGTATCTTGTCAGTCAGCCTGGTTGTAGGATTCTAACAGGATCCAGCTGTGGGATCTCAGGGAGGCAGCTTTCAGGCACTTCTTTGGTGGTACAGTTTTCTTAACAGGTTCTTAGAAAGCTGCTTTTCATTCCTGAAAACACCTTGAGTCATCTAAAGCTCAGGGTCAGCTATTAAGGGCCTCTTACCATCTATCCTCTCCAGGGTTGTAGGCAAAACTCTACTCTTCAGCCCAGACACTGGAGAGGAAAGGAATTCATTCATCCACATTCAGTGGATGGAGCCTCAGAAAGCAGCTTGTTGCTGGAGCTGCATGGTAAGCAGAATTCAGAGATCCAGTCCATAGTGCTGTGATGAGCCGCCTTTTAGCCAGCCCCTCTGCAGTTCAAAGGGAGCTAACCTTCAAGTGCGACATGGTGAAGTACAGGGCAAGACTAGCCTAGTGACATCTCTCCAGGGCCCAAAGTGCTTCCTGAGAAAACAGTGTGCTTCCCTTCCTGCTTGGCTTCTGGTCACTGTGCAGTTGGGAGCCCCCCTCAGTGTGCTGTTGGAAGCTAATTGTGTCACCCTACCTACTGTACTTTGGATGCCTCTGGGACAGTCAGGAAAGTAAAAGGCTCCTTGTTGGTACTGAATTGTTAGCCAGGCCCTTTGTGTGTGTCTGATACTGACTCAGGCTGAGACCTTTGTCTGTGGCAGAGGAGTCTTGTAGTCATGAAGCAAAGCAGGTATAGGCTCTATTATTACTCTAAATGGCTTGACAGGATTCAACCCTCAACCTTGAATTGTTCTCTTTAAAGCAATCCACTCGTGATACATGCTATACCATTTTTCTTTTCTCTTCTGATTTCCATTCAAGAAGTTTTCACAAAGTGAAGATTTTATTTGCTAAGGGAAAAGGTAAGCAAGACCCTAGGTCCAAAGGTACTGCCACCAGTTTTGTCACCACACACCCAGCCCTGGGATCCACTGTGCCCCTCAGAGGGAAAGCTAATAGTACCCCTGCTGCCACCCATCTATGGGTGCAGCATGTTCTAGAATCTTACTGAAGTGATCCACCTAGGAAGAAAAGGGCTCACTAATCACCACTCTGCAAATGATCCAGAAACACCATAAAAAAAACTTCCCTTTTCTATGTCCAGAACCTGCATATCCTGGGAAAAAGGGGAGATTTGCATTACATAGAAAGAGAACTAATATCTGTTTGCTGTATATCTTTTGAATCAGAAATCCAAACAGTGTGGATTGCTGCCACTTCATCCTATATGCGGTTAGGGATGGAGAGAAAGAGGGACAGGGAGAGGGAGAGGGAGAAAGAGAGGGGGAGAGGGAGAGGGGGAGGGAGAGAGAGACAGAGACAGAGACAGAGACAGAGAGGAAGAGACAGAAGCAGAGAGACAGAGAGACATCTGGGTGGAGTTCTCCAGGCATTACAGAGTCCTTAGGAGATTGCTATGATGAGGTCTTAGGGTTGAAACCCACAGAACAATAGGACTACTGCTCACCTACTGTGCATCTGTCACTGCAAGGCTGATACACCACCACCCTCAGGAAACTTGCCTCTGGTTTGGGAGGGAGATAGAGCAGTCACAGAGATAAGCGAGGCACACTCAGGAAATATGCTATAGTCTGATCTTAAGTGTCCCCCAGACACCCTTAGTTCTCAGCCCATGGCCCATTTGGGAGGAGGTGAACCTTTAAGAGGTTGGGCCTACTGAGATGTCATCCCATCACTGGGGGTATGCATTAGAAAGGATCTGTGAGGCCTCATTTCCTCCCTTTATTTTCCCCTTCAAGTCCCAGCCTTGAAACGAAGGGCTTTGCTCCTTCATGATATTGCCTTGGACCTAAAGCAGTGAGGTGGACTGATCATGGACTGGAACCTCCAAAATAGCCAAAATAAATCTTTTCTCTTATAAGTGAATTTATCTTGGGTGTTGGTTATAGTAGCAGAAAACTGACTAATATGGAGTGATAATCATAAAGTGCTGGGATATGTGTGCCATGGCTGTCTTAGGAAATAGCAGTCTCAGCAATGGGGCATAGGGCTGGGTGGAGATAACACCAGGAAACCGAGAGGTTCCAGCCACGTTTTGCAGAACAGCATCAGGCAGCAGGAACAGAAGCAGATGGGCAGGGTTGGGGAGAGACACTGAGGAGGAAGAGAGACAGGGTTTGTGGACTAGAGTTTATGCCCTTGTTGGGAGAAGAGTGCGGAATGCCACTTATGAAAGTCCCAGACTATGAGAGGGACTTTGAGCAAAGGCCTGAAGTCACACTTCATTCTCCTCCCATCAGTCTGAGTGGTGTGAGGTCATGCAGGCAAAGCCTTGAGGGCTCACTGCTTTCACTTAGAAGAGGAACCCAGATAGTGAAGCAGGGAGATGGGCTAGGAGATCACAGGGCCCTGGAGCAGGCAGCAGGGAGGTGCTAAAGGAAGTGGAGCTGCCAGTTTTGCTGACGTCTGGAGGTTGGAGGTAGAGCCCAGAACAGTGGCTCCAGCAAAGTATCACCCTAAGGAATGGGAGACCATGGAGATAGTCAGGGCCTGAGAGGTTCTGCCTGCGCAGAATAAGTATGAGAGGTCTCTAGGAAGCTGTTTTTCAGGGTCCTGGCAGGAAGCAAGTGGCTCCCCAGGCATATCTGGGAAAAGTTTACACCTCAGAAAGAGACAGGAGAGCCATTCACACCTTTTATAAATGGGAGTTGGAGGGGGCAGTATTGGGAGCAAACCAGTTTAGGAAGCTGACATCCATCCAACCTTGAGAGGGGGCCACCTCCTCTCCGAGGCTGGGCCATAAACAGCACTACCAGGCTTGGCAGTGAGATGCTAGGGGCAGCTACGCTCCTCCTGTTTGCGGCTAGACCAGCTACTGGCTGAACTGAAGAAGACCAGAGAGTGAGGGGCAGCCTCCAGAAACAAAGCTGGCCTCAGACCTACCTTGGAGGAAGATAGGGCATGGTCCTCACCATCACCAGGTAGGCTGGCCCTTGGTGATCCAGACAGGTGCCTAACCAAAGATGAGTTTGGGAGTGAGCAGCATAGTGTGGACCTGGAGTCTCATAAAGGGGCACAGGCAGAAGGGAAAAGGCCAGGGTTCACACCAAAACTGAGAGGCCTGGAAGCCAGGGTAAGTAGTCTTTGAGGCAGGCTCAGCCAGGCAAGACTGAAGCCTGTGAGTCTCATGAAAGGGGTCAGTACCATGTTCCAGGAGACCACTGTGGACCTGACACCGTGGAGCTATATGAGTTTGCCCACCCAATAGGATGGGGACCTAAGAGGAGTGAAGGCAGTGAGGGCAAACCCGCTGCAGAAGTGCTCTTCTCATTCTCTAGCTGCAGGTAGATCAGAACACATCTGGATTTTAGCCATTCTTTCATCCAGAGCACCTGAGGCCTGCATATTGTATAACCACTCAGCCAGTGGTTTAAGAATCTGAATGAAAGGAAAACTTTCAGTCCAAAGTCTTAGTGTTAGAAGATTAGACACCATCTAGAGAGACAGCTTTGCTGATGATGTTTCCCCCATTGTGTCATAAAAGTACATAAATGCAGCATTCCAACTATTTGGGCGAGGAAACGGGTTGATGGGAGTAAACAGCTGTCGTTAAGACCCATACATGTGTTTACCCTGTCAGTACACTCACCCATAGGACTGTGTCTCTGGAGAAGCCCCCACTGGTCTCCTGGGGCTGTGGTTTCACTTCCCTGATGGCTGCTCCTAGATTGGCCCAGAGCAGACTTCTGGAAACTGAGTATATCCACTACCTGACTTTGTTGCAGTACCCAGCTGTCTTGGTTACTTTTTCTCCTTCCTGAAACAAAATACTTGATGCTCAAAATAAAGGAAGGAAAGGATTATATAGCTTACAGTTTGTAGAGGTTTCAGTCCATAATCAGCTGGTTCCAAGGCAGGGCGGCAGGGCACAAGGGTAACACTTCAGGGTGGCATAAGACTGCAAAGCAACAAGAGCAGAAGTGGAGAAGAGAAAGTCTCTTTTTCCTCTTATATTGTAAGCAGGCTATGATCCTTGGGTGGGTGTAGCACTCACACCATCTCCGTGCCCTCCTCTTGCACAGGCTGAGGATGTTTAGAAAGTAAGGACCTTGTTCCCCTGCAGAATCCCTTAGTTAAACTGAGCTTCTCGAATTGACACAAGGAATAATATCCTAGAGCAGTAAGGGCTTGTCCTCTTCACCCCAGGATGTAGAACTGCTGAATAACTTAATTAAGCTTCTAGATCTCAGTGTGACACAGTGTATCAACCATAAGACAATGTATCCACCAGCTATGCATGCTGCAGTGTCTGTGGTGCCTACTCACACTCTACCACATGGATTTGATTTGGGGTGTTAATTGACATTTTAAGGCGCATTCCAGAATGGAGGATAGCTCCTACGTATGCAAAAAACAAGTCCTCCAAACTTGTTTGAATGGATACAGATTCGGTATGTGCAGGCATTCAGGGATCTGGTGACTGCAGTGTCTGTTGTTTTCCAGGTCAGCAGAGTGGAGCGGGAGAAGAGCCAAGAGCTGAAGCAGGTACGCGAACACGAGCAGCGCAAGCACGCAGTCCTGGTCACGGAGCTCAAGACCAAGCTGCACGAGGAGAAAATGAAGGAGCTTCAGGCTGTACGGGAGGCCCTGCTGCGGCAGCATGAAGCTGAGCTTCTGAGGGTCATCAAGATCAAGGATAACGAGAACCAGCGGCTGCAGGCCTTGCTCAACACCATGCGCGATGGCGCACCTGAAAAGGTCAAGACGGTGCTCCTGTGCGAGGCCAAGGAGGAAGCCAAGAAGGGATTCGAGGTGGAGAAGGTCAAAATGCAGCAAGAGATCTCAGAGCTAAAGGGGGCCAAGAAGCAGGTAGAGGAGGCACTGACCCTGGTGATCCAGGCAGACAAGATCAAGGCTGCAGAGATCAGGAGCGTGTACCACTTGCACCAGGAGGAGATCAGCCGCATCAAGAAGGAATGTGAGCGAGAGATCCGCAGGCTGGTACGTGCACACGGCTGGGTGGGCGGTGCGTGTGGCTCTGGTTGTTGGTCCCTCACACTCTCCCTGTTGGTTCTGAGTAACTCAGGGACCTGTGACTATTAAGAACATGAGAGAGCCAGATCCTTGTAGGGCAGGCACAGCCTCCCATCTGCCCTTCCACCAGTACCAGCTGCGCTGCCATTCCTCACTGGGCTAAAACAAGAAATCTACAAGTGAGAACTCTTCAGTTCCAACAGAATGGATTTAAAAGGCTTTCCCATCTCAGTGTCAGGTTAGACTTAACACTAAACAGGGCCCAGTATGTGGGGTGGCAGGGTTCACATCATCTTAGCTAGTGAATTCTCAAAGCCGTTCGAGTCTTTAGATCCAGAGAGCTAAGACAAGGTTGTCCACAGTGCTAACAAGGCCCTGAGGCTGCCCTGATGTTTTCCTGATGTTGTAGGGAGTTGATTGTGCAATTCCTCCCCGTTTGGAGTGTACATTTTCTGAGTAATGTGCCAGGAGTGGAGCTTTACCTTGGTAATACATGCCCTTTATCCTTACTCTGTGCTTCGTCAGGACTCAGGCTCTGAGGTACCTCCAAAAGGATGCAGTAATCTTTTCAGCTAGGGCGTCTAGGACAAGGACATTTCTACATTCCTCCTACTTCCCTGGAACCCTGGTTTGCAGAAGTGACATCAATGTGGCACTACCATTTGGAACTTCTTGGAAAGGCTACAGTAATCCTCTGGACATAGCCAGGAGAAACTGGGCATTGTGAAGCAAATAAGACTTTGCCATAGTGGGCATATGTGGCCCCAATTCCTGATGTGGAAGGCCTTCTGTGCTTTTCCAGGGTGTTCCCTGCTCCAGTCTCCTCTCAAGACTCATCAACCAGTCCTGAGCTATATGTGTCATTGCCCTTAGCAACCCCAGGCTGACCCAAGATCCCACATGTAAGAATTAGGTGAAATCTCCATGTGACATATGTGACAGTGCCCCAGCTTGTCTGTCCAGGTAAGAAGCAGCTGTGAGACTATCCTAGACTGACCAATCAGAACTTATGAGAACTTGTGTTTGTGAACAGTCCTTATTCCAAACTTACATTTGTGATTTTAACGGGGTATGAAATTATAGGTAGAAAAATTTTTTCTGTGAGGAATTTGAAGGCATTTCTGCCTTATTTTCTAACTTCCCAAAACCACTGTTGAAAAGATTATTAGCACTCTTCTTCCAGATTTTTTCTGTGCCCCATTTCTCCATGCACATCCCCAGAAGTTACAGGATGTTCTCTATAAACCCAGAGCAACTCTGAAATTTCCTGATGCTGTGCCCATAACAGAAGTGCCTCACCCCTGGGGCATTACCAGTTACAAACCATATGCCCTTCCTTGTAGTGACTCTGCTCATTGTCAGCAGCTTTACTTAGCAGATGATCCACATTCCTGACATCTTCAATTTTCTGGGGTCTTTATTGCACTTTAGCCTTCACTATCATGGCTTCATGCACTGTTCTCTCAGGGACACACTTTCTGGCCTTCAAAGCCTTCTGAAATCTGAATGGAATCCTCTATAACCCTAAAACTTTTGCATTAAACAGGCCTATAACATAAGTACCACATGGACAATACCAAGGTTAGCTAACTGGGGCAGTAGCCAGGCTCCCTTGGACCAAGTCTGCAGAGGTCTCTGAGTAACTGGATAGCTGAACACTATGAATGAATCCTAGGGAGCCAATTTTCTAGGTGACCCTTTTTAAACAAGCAGCTTGGGGGCTCTTTTCTCTAATGGAAGGGTCTTAGTTACTTTTCTCATTGCTGAGACAAAATACCCAACATCCAAACTTAAACAGGAAAGGTGTGCTTAATTCAAAGTTTGTAGAGGTTTTAGTACATAATCGCTGGTGCCAAGGCAGTGTGGCCCATATATGGTCCAGTCTACAGGAATTAGGGTAGTGTCAATCTAATCAGTAGACTGATCCAGCAATCACCCACCCTTAATCCCAGTACCCTTAATCCCAGAATTAAGCAGGGCTCAATTGCACATTCTAGATTCAGCCACCTGCAAAAAAACCCTATAATCACCTGAGGCTTTGAGAGGACATCTAGACATAAACCATAACAGAATGCTTTATGGTTTTGCACAGTTGAGCCTGTGAAGGGTGGGGAATCTTGCTGATTCCTGAGAGGCCTTCCAGCCATCTGTCCTAATATCCTGATACAAAGTACTTGGCTTATTTTTAATGGTAAGTTTTATAGCAATCACATTCTTCTTTACCCCAACTTTTAAAATTTTAAAAACTTTATTTGGAATGTAGTAAAAATGCAACAGAACAAGACAGAACAAAGCCAATTGAGGCAATGCAGTGAAATTGGTACAGAGCTTCACAGCAGGATACTGGGATAGTAGTAATAGGTACTATAGGTATAGTGAAATTAAACCAAAAACAGAACATTATAAAACCAATTGAAGGAGAATATTGAATAGAGCAAAACCATCAAATCAAAACAAAACATAACAGTGAAAATAACCTTTGCCTTCAAACAGAAGATAGAAGGAAATCCCCTATATTCGCTGTATTGCATATGGTCATTCTCCCAAGAGATGCTCAGACCTCTGTCCCCAGTTGCTGACGTGGGGTGGGGGTGTGAGGGGGGGGTGCCGGTAGGCTCATGTGAATAGCTGACTGGTTCTTCTCCCTGCCCACTCTTACTGAGAGGGTGGGCAAATTGCCTTCTTGTGCAGCCACCTTAAGTCCCACTACCCCAACTTTTTAGGCACTTCCTTTTGAGAAAACTGAGAAGCTTTTTAAGTGGGCTTTTTGCTCCTGATTCTTACTGTATTTTGTAACTCAAGCTGAAAGTGGCCATAAGTACCCATGCCACAAATTAAATGTTAGACTGCCTTGAAATTTCCTCTGATAGATTAGTTAGTCCACTGCTGTTAATTTCAGTGTCCCACAAAAATCTCAGAACCTGGGCAAAATTCTGTTAGGGTATAACACACATGGCCTCTGGTTCAACTACTCGTGGAGTCCTTGTTCCTAACTGGAATCTGCTGACCCAGACTCTTACTCTCTGCATTTCTATGAGCATTCTGGTTTTCTGAGCTCCAACCAAACTCTCCCACCAAGATTGGGTTACAGTATTCTGGGGCTTCTCTATCAAGCATCTCCAAACCTGTCCATACTCCTGTTAACCAGTTCTGAACACTTCTGAACCACATGGTCATTTTTAGTCACAGCAACAACTCCATCTCTCTGGCACCAAAATCTGTTTTAGTTACTTTGTTGTCTCTGGGATGAAATACCTGCCACCTACAATTTAAGAAGGAGAAGTTTAGTTTGGCTCATGGTTTCAGTACTTAGGCACTGGCTCCAAGGCAGAAAAAGGATGGCGGACGGGCATAGTAGAGGAAAGGTGCTCAACCCATGGCAGCCAGGAACGAGAGAGAGAAGTAAGTAGAGGCTGGGAAGAGTGATACACGCTTCCAGGTCACACCTCCACTAATCTGCCTCCAACCAGATCCCACCTCCTAATAGTCAACTATAGCGACCCATGATTTAGTCACTTTCCAGACATATGAAGATTTGGATGGGGGCATTTTAGATCTAAACTGTAGCATTTTCAGAGTCTTGATTGTCCCTCATCCTAAATATTGCCTGGAGGAGTGACTTGGTATGGCTCAAAGCCTCAGAGAGAAGCCAGAAGAAGAGGAGCACAGTGAGCACATGGTCACTGTACACTCCCAGATTGCACCTAGTAGCTGCTGAAGCCTCAAAACACCTAGACAAGGTTACCCAGTGTTCAGTAACTGCCAGTCCTGCCCAGAAGCCACAAAAGTATGAGTTCTTGGTGTTGAGAGCTGCCTGTCCACTCCTGCCTGTATCAGAATAGGTGGAAATGTTAAGATCACCCCCAAGCAGAATCTCCCTGGCAAAGCCTGGAAAACACCATTTTTAGGTCTCAGCAATTCTGTGCTATAACCCTCCTCCCCCTGGCCCCACTTTTGCAGAGGTCCCTGGAGATGATTCCTCTTCTGTGTGCATCCTACGCAGGTCCCCAGAAAAGCTGGCTTGCTGGTGATTTTCTCGGCCAAATTTTCATCAATTTCAGAGTGAAGCACAAGGAGCAGGTAGTTGGCAACCAAAGATGCTGGTTGGTTTGCTGCAACATCCTCTGTAAACTCAGGCAGGGATGACCTGTCACAGCCCCCACAATTCTGGAGCTTTCAGCCTGCTGTGACAAACGCTGAGGCAGAGCTGAGTTGCGCTGCGATCCCTAGAGCAGCTGCACACCATGCAGGGTTATTATTGAAGCTGGGAGAGCTTTATTGTGCCTGCAGTTACTGCACACTTAATATATTTGCTAAAATAAAAGCTCAGACTGTTATTAAAAATTCTATAAAACTGAAGAATTATTAGCAAAATGCAATTTCTTCTTTCTCATAAAGATCTGTGATGTATAATATTGTCCCTCCTCCACAGTTGTCTAGGCAGCTAGTTAATGTGGAATGCTAATATACAGCAGTAATTAAAACCTCATAAAAAGATGGCTATAAAGATGAGATTGATTCCTCCCAAAGTGCTACTTGCCAGGCTAGTTGGGTAGGCTAGGGGAGTAACCTTGCATTTTCACAGCTCTTGTTTTACCAGAAGTTTACCTCAGGTAGGTGGCCAGAACTGTGGAGGCCCCTCCTCTTCAGCGGACCCATTCAGACACACATTCCTTCTCAAAAATGCCACTCCCATATGCAACAGCAGCTTTCTCAGAGTGCCCAGTTGGTCCTGGGCAATGCTTTCAGTTTTGCTGAAGATCTCTGATTGCAAATCCAAGCCAGCTATAAATGGATGTTGCATATTTATTTGATCACTGGGGAGCAAATATTTGCTGGTGCAGATGTCTGCCCCACGCTACAAAGTGAGAGAGGATACCAGGGAATAAGACTTTCCCAAAAACTATCTGTCTACAGGAGCCTGGCCCCCACTGTCCACTGAGCCACCTGCTTACAATATATCTGGG